ACTTGGCGTATTTTCAATAAATATTTATGTGTAAGACTGCAGGCAGCTTAATTTTTATGCTCTTTGTCAGATTTTGATATGCTGGATTTGATTTTTTTTAATGAGAATTTTTTTGTTTTTCTCTGTTCTAGAACATTCGAAAAAGTATCAAAATTGTTCCTTGAAAGTTTGAAAGAATTCATGAATGAAACTGCCTCAGCCTGATGTTATTTAGGAGAATTGGCTATTTAAAAACACTCCTTGTTTGGGCCAGGCACCGTGGCTCACGCCTGTAATTCCAGCACTTTGGGAGGCTGAGCTGGGTGGATCACCTGAGGTCAGGAGTTCAAGACCAGCCTGGCCAACATGGCAAAACCCTGTCTCTACTAAAAATACAAAAATTGGCCAGGTGTGGTGGTGTGGCCTGTAATCCCAGCTACTCAGGAGGCTGAGGCAAGATAATTGCTTGAATCCAGGAGGTGGAGGTTGCAGTGAGCCGAGATCATGCCACTGCACTCCAGCCTGGGCAACAGAGTGAGACTCTGTCTTACAAAAACAAACAAACAAACAAACAAAAAAAAACAAAAACAAAAACACAGTTTTCTCTGGACATTAAAAATACTAGTTTATTCCATAGGGACTTAAATCAGCCCAAAGAGGCAAAGATACTCATTTTACTCCATTAGGCTGTTTCTTTCCTCTTCTCATTCACTTTTATTAATAGTGATAAACATATGTTTACCTGGTAAATCCCTTTTTTCTTCTTATACAAGTCTGAGTTAATTACAAAACAACAGTGACTTTTTCCAGGGCCACATCTAGGTGCATGACATACTTTGGAACACTCACAGTATAATTGGGTACCTGATGCAAATTATTTGCATATGCAAGCAACATTTGAGTTAAAAGTGTTATGGACTTCCTGAGATTAGCATTAATTGTTCTTCTTTGTTTCTTCTACCTTCTCTTTCCCAGCTATTTAATAGGAGCCTCTGTGCTAGAGGAGGTGGCTGGAGAAGAGCCACAGAACTAGGTGAGGGGGTGGGGAGAGTGAGTGGAAACCGATCAGAAACCTTTATTGGGAATTAGATTTTCCCTGCCTCACCCCCCTCCCACCCCCAAAAGCCTACAGTTCTTCCGGGCCATGGTTTGAGCCTGCCATTCTAGAATGTTCCACAATGCAACTATTACTTTCCTGTAGAGGTCATGAAACGTAGATTTTTGGCTTTCCGGTCTTGCTGAAAGATCTTTATTTCAGTGAAATACCAATCAAGAAGCTACTTTGAAAAGTGTCATATGCCGTCCCCAGCCTTGGTTTAGGAATAACTTGTGCAAAAGCCACAAATGCTCTTCTTCACAAAACCTCTACTGTGGTTTTCGCACATCACTGCTAACTCTAGCACAGTCTTTCCTCTTTCTTACAGGAGTAAGAGAAAGTATTAGCACTAAGTCAGCTCTGTTCACATTTCCGGTTTCAGAGGAGCTAACTCTGAAAATGCAGTATTTTTTACAGTTCACTCACTCTGTGAAGGATATTCCCAAATCTCATCCCAGTGACAGAAAATCCTTATGTGTCCTAAGCTGCAAATAAGCATTGTGCTCCCAGGTGGAAGAGGATTTTGAGATAAGTTTTCGTTAAGAGGGATGGAAATAGGAGCATTGAAAAATGACGAAATGCGTTAATTCTCAAGTTCAGTCACATGAGTAAAATCCCGGATTGGCATTTTGTACCTAGTGATTACTAGTGCTGCGAACCCATCGAAGGCTGGGGACAGCGGTATGCAATGTTGGAAGAGAAGAAAAACACCCTCGTGACTCCCCTCTGGTATAGCTCAAAGTCCCCAGGAGACTTCCTTTCCCCAAATACCTGTGGGTCTACCTGGACTCAGAAATGTGTGCTCTCCTGCTATCAAAACCACACCGCTCCTCTTGTCTAGTAAATTAGCCAGACATGGCCATTGAGATAGTGCTGTGAGTTTGGTTTTTTAAGGTAACTTCCTTACCTATAATTAGTTGGCCCTTAATCCTCCTTAAGCTTCCTCTTCCCATCCTGGGGTGTGTGGAAGAGGGCCAGGGGAGAGAAGGACTGTGAAATCCTCAAAGTCCCCAGAGCTCTGCCCCCTAACCCCAGCCCTCGGAGGCCCCCTGAACTCCCTCCGCTTCTCAAATTCCCCAGCTTCTCCCAACTCAGTCCTTGCCAGCACTGAGAGTAGCCCCATCCCCACCCTCCCAGGCAGGGGAAGGGGCAGCTTTAGGGCTTCCTGGAAATTTACTCCCTGACAGCTTTCCCAGGAGGATTTGCACTTAAAAAGGACATTTGGGGAGGGAGCCTGCCCCTCTGTACAAAGCTTGTCCTTTAGAAGACCTGGACACAGCCTCCAGGTGGGAAGATGCCACCTGTGTGGGGGAAGTGGGAGGTTATCCTGAGGAGAAAGTGTGTGAAGGAAGGTTGGTCTGGGGCGGGGCAGTGGTTGGGTGGGGAGGACAAGACTTTTTTGCCTACACTACTCCCACCTTCCTTTTTCCCATTTGTTTCACCAAGATTTTCCTTCCTGACTTGTTTTTGGACACTTTCTGTACTCCTCTTGTTCTATTCCTAAACTGTCCATGCACCTTTCCACTACCTTGTCCCTGAATATTTTTTGCTGTGTCCTGTTCCTTGTCCCGGTCCCAAATCATTCGGCCTGCCCTTCCCTTGTCCCTGGATCTTTTTGCCGAGTGTCACTATTTTTGGACAAAAAGCCTTTTCCAGTCCCGCCTTGAACCACCCTACATAGAAGCCTCCTTGTAGATGATGTGAGAGTCCAGCTCTAGGAACTAGCTAACTCTTACCTGGGGCTGGGGGCCAGGTTGTGGAAGGACAGAGATTGGAAAGAGAGCAGGACCCCTTCAGCAGCCCTGCTTGCCTTCTGCAGAGCACAACAGCCTGGCCTGAACAAAAATGTTCCTAGTGGCAGAAGATACTTCTCCAGAAGAGTTTGCTTTTATCACACTTAAAGATAGATAGATAGACAGACAGACAGACAGACAGATAGGTAGGTAGATAGATAGATAGATAGATAGATAGATAGATAGATAGATAGATAGATAGATAGATGATGGGTAGATATAGCTATAAATACATGTTTTTTATACAAGTAGCACATATTCATTGTGGGAAACTTCAAAAATATAGACAAGTTAAAGCAAAAAGGTAAAGATACCCCAGAACCTATCACCCAGACACAAGTCTTGTGGTACCTTGCAGACTTGTTTCTGTATGCACATGTAGATGAGTGTAGAGCATCATCAAAGAGCCATGCGGTTCCTCCACTTGGCTGTGTGTCCTGTGCTGATGAGCACCTTTCTGCTCAGGTCATGACTGGAGCAGCATTTCAAGAAATGGAACTGGTTTCTTCTACAGAAGTGTTGTATTAGTTTCCAAGGGCTGCCATAACAAATTACTACAAACTGGGGAGCTTAAAACTACAGAAATGTATTCTTTTACAGTCTTGGAGGCCAGAAGTCTGAACTTGAAGGTGTTGACAGGGCCATGCTCTCTCTAAAGGATCTAGGGGAGGGTCTTTCCTTGTTTCTTCCCAGCTTCTGATGGTTGCCAGCAATCCTTGATGTTCTGTGGCTTGTAGACACATCTCTCCAATCCCTGCCTCTGTCTTTGCGTGACTGTTTTCCCTCTGTGTTTGTCTGTGTTCAAATTTCCCTCTTCTTATAAGATCACTAGTCATTGAATTAGGGTCCACCCTAATTCAGTATGACCTTATATTAATTTCCCTATTACATTTGCAAAGTATTTCCCCTGCAAAAAAGTCACATTCACAGGTTCCACATGGACATGAATTTGGGAAGAGGAACACTGTTTCACCCAGAACAGATAACAACCCCACTGCTTATTTGAAACTGCTTCAGATGTGGTTGGTTCCCCGATGTCAGGGGAGAGACAGGGCTCCAAGCACCAGTCACCTTGTGGCAAGGAGTACCAGGATGTCCTCCTCACAGTCAGAAAACATCTTGATGTCAAAGACAGGGGCTATTGAGTTCTATGTGGAAGAGATCTAGTGGAAACTGTCGCAGGTCCACGCTTACCAAGATGGTGCAGCTCACCGTGGGGCATTGTGATGAAGAAAGATTCCCAACTCCACTTATTCACAAGGGAACACCCTTGCCACAATAGCTATTAAAGGTTGTGGTAATTGTTTTCCAATTATCTACCTGTGGGCAAAAATTAACATGGGTACAGAGCATGGAGGGGAACTTTTAGCTGCTACTCATAAGCACTTTGGGGACACTCTCAACTTATTTTTACAAAACTGGAACTGGGCCAGTTGCAGTGGCTCACGCCTGTAATCCCAGCACTTTGAGAGGCCGAGGCAGGTGGACCGCCTGAGGTTAGGAGTTCAAGACCAACCTGGCCAACATGGCGAAACCCCGTATCTACTAAAAGTACAAAAATTAGCCAGGCATGGTGGCAGGTGCCTGTAATCCCAGCTACTCGGGAGGCTGAGGCCGAAGAATCACTTGAATCTGGGAGGTGGAGGTTGCAGTGAGCCGAGATCACGCCATTGCACTCCAGCCTGGGCAGCAAGAGTGAAACTCCATCAAAAACAAAACAAAACAAAACAAAAAACTGGGAACATCCTATTTCCGCCATGATATTTGCGCTATCAGTGTATCACAGGGGTCTTTCTAAGCCAGTAAATATCCTTCTGTACCAAAATGTATTTAACTGGTAATTCTAAATCTTTTGATAAAGGCCTTCCACTTTTCTTCCACCCCTGTGGTCCCTGTGGTACATCTTGTGCTGAGAGATTACCTTCTTCTCAAATCTTAACTATTTTACTGAATCTCTCCACCTCTTTTTGCACTCCTCAACTCAGTCAGGAAAAAAAAAAAAAAATTTCCTGCCCCTAGCGTTTCCTTAATCAGATGCAGACATGGCTGGATGTTCTTTGCGGGGCTGCTGAGTCAGAAGCCTGGACGGGCCAGCTTCAGTTTTAATAGAGTGGCTCAGGAAGGAAGTGCTAACAGAGATGGGTGCACAGTGCAGTCAGTGGGTGGGAGCTGATGCTGGCTAGAAGACCTGAGTCTTCTGAGAGGCAGCTTGATTCCTGGAAAAGACTACTGGGCTGGAAGTCAGGAGGCCTGGGGTAGTCTCACCTCTGCCGCTAACATGCTGCATGACCATGGTAAGTCATTGCCTTTCTCCAAGCCTCGATGAGAAACAGCGGACCTGGCCCCAGAATACACTGTGGGAGAGCTAGAGGTCTTCTGAGTCAGGCCCCCACTAAGAAGGCAGTCTCCTGTGAGGATACCTAGGAGATGAGTTAGAAGCAGAGGGCGCATTTCACAAACAGCCCCCAAGGGATTGTCAGGAGCAGACCTCAGGAAGAATCAGAGAGACAGAGACTGCTCAAGCCTGGGGTCTGAACTAAAGAGGGCAGCAGTTAGAAGTTGAAAAGAGAGGAGAGAGCCCTGAACGAGTTAAGTCAAGAAGAAGGATCATGGTAGAGGTAAATTGCAGGGTAGGCAGGGAAAGGCTGTGGAGAGGGGTTTCTGGGCAGTGGAGCCAGGGGCTAGCCTACTAAAGTTCTGGTGCTCTAGGGGAGATTCTGAAAGTAGGCTGAAGCCAGGCATGGTGACTCACGCCTGTAATCCCAACAGTTTGGGAGACCAAGGTGGGCAGATCATTTGAGGCCAGAAGTTCCAGACCAGTCTGGCCAGCATGGTGAAACCCTGTCTCTACTAAAAGTATAAAAATGAGCCAGGCGTGGTGGTGCATACCTATAATCCCAGCTACTCAGGAGGCTGAGACAGGAGAATCACTTGAACCCAGGAGACGGACATTGCAGTGAGCCGAGAATGCGCCATTGCACTCTAGCCTGGGCGACACAGCAAGACTCTGTCTCAAAAAAAAAAAAAAAAAAAAGGCAGGCTGAGACTAAAGCAAGGGAGGTTTAAAAAACGGACTAGAACCACACAGACAAGTCTTAAATGTTCAATCATGTCAGGCTGATATTTGAAGGAAAACAAGTGCCAACTGTGTACCCACCTGCAGAGCACACCATCCCTGAGACTCTTCACTGTGGAAGAAAGGGAATTTTTTTGTTCTTTAAAAACCTGATATTTCATGTTCCACATGAAGGGTTGACTGGAGAACCTGAGGTGCTGTACAGAGACAAGAGGAAGGCTTTGATCCTAAGCCTGCAACTCTAAGAGAAGAATGAGCCCATGAGTTACGGCCTGTGGGTTCTTCCACATGCTATTTCCTGTACCTGGAATGTATTCTTTCCTGACCCAGAAAATTCCCTCAGGGATTCCTCTTCCAAGAAGTCTTCCCTGAGTCTGTCACCTCTTCACCTTCACTCCTTCTGCATGCTCCCAAAACCCCTGCCATTCTCTACTGTGGGTGCTTACCCAGTGCACTGTAGTCCACTCTGGCTTTTGTATCCCCTTAACTAGCAGCTCTGTCTTTTTCATTTCGGATTCCCAGACCTATCAGAGAGCCTAGTGCTTGCCAAATGCTGGGAAAATACTTACTGAAAGGATATTGACTACTCAATGTTAGCCACAAGGCCCTTCAGACAGTCTTGCCATAGGAAACATCAATGGGAGAACCTTTTGGAATTATATAGAGAGACGGGGTGGGGAACTTATGGATTTGTTGTTTTTTGTTGTTGTTTGTTTGTTTGGCTAAACTCACAGCAATAGGTGTTAGAGTCATACAAGGGTTACAACAGCACGCAAGAGCCCACTTATGACTAGAAATTTCTTCTAGAATTCCCTTCAAAGCATGATTCTCCTGCTGTGTTTGGGGAGTGTGTGGCAGTGGTGAGGGGACAGAATCCTGCCTCTAGGATACAACTCTGGAGTGGACATGTAGCAAGAGAGCTCACCTTGGGAACCTGGGATGGAGGTAGGCATCTGTTAGAAAGAGAGACTGAGGATTCTGGTCACACTATCAAAACTAATACCAGAAACCAGATCAACACACCCACCATCCCCATTCCCAACCACACTCATCTATGCTGGAGATGATTATCCCCACACCCCTCCTATGTTACTCTTCCTGAGCCATTGGAGTGCCAGAATAAACATAACCAACTAGAAGACTTCTGCAGAATGGAAAAGGATGGAAGATTCCAGACTAGAAAGGCCGAGGACAGCAGATAGACACTGAATGTTGAGATTTGTCAGTGGAGTGCTGCAAGACAGGATGCAAAGTTATGACAGGTGTCTTTGCTTCTAGAGAGGCTTCGCAGATATACATTCTATCCCACCCTACCCTGCCCCACCCCTGGGTGTATAGGTACTCCTCCTTCTTGTTCCCACAGCATTCTGTGTTCACTTCGACAGTGGTGCTTTTCACACCATTTATGGTTGTCTGTCTGCTCATGTATTGCTCAGCTTCTCTGAACTGGAAGCTCCTGGCAAAGCAGGGACTGTCATCTTTTTCTTTGTATCCCCAGGGTCCAGCTCAGCATCTGGCTTACAGTAGGCACTCAGTGAATGTTGATGTGAACAAATGAACTGATTCAAAGAAGTGTCTCTTGAAGTTGCTTCTTTCCAATCTAGCCAACAAATGCAGTATTCCAAATGGAGGTACCAGAGATCACATCATCTTCAGCTTTCTGCCACAGATCCACATGAAGAAACACACATGGTGCAGCTAAAATCCTTAATGTTAGATAGGACTTTGCATTGGACACTTTAAAATGTGATGTCTGGCTTTGAAGAGGGCGTATAACACAAATTTACTGTGCATCAATCTCACTAATGGAAAATAAACAATAGCCCATACATCATCTTTCTTGAAGTGTAATATGTTTAGGATAAAAGTTGATTGGTCAGTGTTAAACTATATGTAAATTTTAGCCTTTCCAGAGCCCATGAAAATGTCTGGAAAAAAAAAGCTTTTAAAAATGAGTAAGTACAAGGTTATTTGTTACAGCATTTAAAAATATCATATGATTGGAAACAACCTAAATGTTCATCAATAGGGGACTAGTTAAAAAAATGTGTAGTACATCATCACTCATGTAATGGGATACTATGAAGTTGTAAAAAAAAAAATAGAGAATAAAGAAGTGTTTCGCTGACCTAGAACAATCTCCAAGATACATTGTTAAGATGTAGAACAATGTGTTATATACTGCTGTGTGTTAAAAGGCTGAAAGGGAATATCTATATATTTGCTTGAAGGTGCATAAAAGCATCCCAGGAAGATACATAAGAAACTGACAACACTGGTTAACAATGGAAGACTGAAAGGAAGAGATGGGGAAAAAGACTGCATTACATACGCTTTCATACTCTTTCATTTACATTTTAGACCATGTGAATGTATTATTTAGTCAAAAATAAATATAAAAAGGAAGAAACCACAACAACCATAGGAAATACAAAAAGTGACATCAACGTGACATAAATTTTGACAAGCAAGAAAGGCCATGAATTTGGACTAACAGAGAGATCAGAGCAGTAAACACTGCAATTCAATAAGTTGTAAGAGTATGCTCTCCCAAAGGAGCATTAATCACAGAGTCAATGAATGTGAGGAGCAGGGGTGGGCTATGAGGCAGTCATTGAAGAGCCGCAGTGGAAACAGCTGGGACAGGGGGCCCTCTCCCTCTCTCTCCTTTCCCCCAGTGGACCATTTGTTAGGAGCGGCATTTGGCGTTGGCCCTCAGGCTAAAGTTGCCTAGAGAGGGTTCTAGGAAGGAGGCTGAGACCTCCACAACAGATAGGACAAAACCAAAAGGAAAACCAGTATTAGTCAAGAGTGAAACCTTCTACAAGGCTCCGCCCCCATAGAAAAGCCCTCCTTACTTCATCAGTTGTGGGGGTCCCTGGTCTTCCTGCCTCTCCACCCACATAACCTAAAGGGAAGCCTGACTGTTGACATTTCCTACCCACTTAAACAGAACCCACAGTCAGCCCTCCCATTCCGGAGAGAGGTTTGTGGGGGAAACAGATAGATCAACACAATTGCAGAGGAAACTCATGCCATCTACCCATAATAACCAACACAGGTTTTCATTCATAAATAAATAAATCGCCAAGCATTTGAGAAAAACTAGCAACATAATGAAAAGGAAAAGTAAACAAAAGGAACTGACCCAGAGGAAAGAGATAGAATTAAGGGAATTGAAGAAAATGTAAATATATTCTGACACATACTGCTCGAAAAGCTAGCCAAACACTATTCTCCCAGGTTAGAATGGTTTACAGCTTCCCCTTCTATCTCTATAAAATAATATTTAGTAATTTGGCAAATATTTACTGACGCCTTACAATGTGTCACAACTCTTTACAATGTGTCAGGAACCAAAGGTTCTGGGTTTGTTTTTTTTTTAATTACCTTTTTCCTCTAATAGTTAATGGTAGAAAAATCAGACAAGTCCATTATGATATGATGTGGCAAATGCTATGATAGATTAAGCACAGAAGAGTTGGGGCGCAGTGGCTCATGCCTGTGTAATCCCAGCACTTTGGGAGGCCAAGGCATGTGGATCACCTGAGGTCAGGAGTTCAAGACCAGCCTGACCAACTTGGTGAAACCCTGTCTCTACTAAATTTGCAAATATTAGCCAGGCAGAGTGGTGCACGCCTGTAATCCCAGCTGCTCGAGAGGTTGAGGCTGGAGAATCACTTGAACCCGGGAGGTGGAAGTTGCAGAGAGCCAAGATTATGACACTGCACTCCAGCCTGGGTGACAAAGCAAGACTCCGTCTCAACAACAACAACAACAAAAAAATACTAAGTACAGAAGAGAGCACCTTGTCAGCTGGAGCGGAATATTTCATTGAAACATTAATAGATGGCCGGGCGCTGTGGTTCACACCTGTAATCCCAGCACTTTGGGACACCAAGGCTGGCGGATCATGAGGTCAGGAGTTTGAGACCAGCCTAGCCAATATGGTGAAACCCCGTCTCTACTAAAAACAATTTTTAAAAATTATCCAGGCGCGGTTGCGCACGCCTGCAGTCCCAGCTACTTGGGAGGCTGAGGCAGGAGAATCGTTTGAACCTGGGAGACGGAGGTTGCAGTGAGCCGAGATAGCTCCATTGCACTCCAGTCTGGGTGACAGAGTGAGACTTTGTCTCAAACAAACAAACAAACAAAAAACATTAATAGATAAAACAGGAGGCAATTAGCCTGGGCACAGGAATAGCATTAATAAGCACAGAACATTTCAGGAAATAAAACTAGCTTAAAATGCTTGATGCTTAGGATTGAACCTGTATGAGTCATAGATGATGAGGAGAGAAATGTGGGCAGGGGTCAGTTCATCTGCCTTGTTAAGTATCGAGACCCTTTCCTCTAGTCTAGAGCTTTTCAGATATATTCAGGGAAAAGAACCCTTAGGAGGCCCTTTGTACAACAAACAAAATACTGATATATTTAACTCTTTCATATGTACTGGAAATAATTTTCCAAGCAGAAACTATGACTGTGTTCTGGGTTATCAATATAAAATCACAACCACAAGCATATTCACATCAAAAACAAACTGTTGAAGTATGATCCATTGCTTTTCTTATTTTTCCCTTGATATTTGCTACAGATCAATCACTAGCTAGCAGAAAAATAGTAGTAGAAAAAGGTGACCGATATTTGAGAAAATTCTGTGTAAAAATAACTGAAAATGAGACTTCAATCCACTAACTTAATTCTTTCTATAAACTTAGAAAAAGATGGCCAATATTTGATTTTGGCTATAGACACTTTCATGCACTCCTATACATGTATACATTTCTTGGAAACTAAATTTGATAATCATTTCTGGATGTGTTAGGCAACTGAAGATGTTAAAATGGAGCCCGCTCCCTGTTGGGGAGAAACAGGCATGAGAGGTTCTGAGACAAAGGACTTCTGATACAGAATCAGAAATCAAAATAACAGCCTAAATTGGGAAGCTGGAAAGGTAGCCAATTGTGGCATTTTGGTAGAGGACCAGGCAGAAGGATGGGAGAAAGAGAAGGCTTCAAGAATTGAGGTACGAGCAGGGCATTCTGGAGTCAGTTGCTGTCAGTGTGAAAGATGGATGGGGTGGGACAGAAAGAGAAACAAGATAAGTTAGGATGGTACAATTCAGTAATCTACAAAAGAGAGGATATATGGGCCTGGAGATGACGGCAGGGGCCATGGAGAGAAGTGGTGGCAACCAAAGGTTTCGGAGGAAGAAGCCACTAGAAGTGGGGCAATCTGGGGCAAGAGAGTGAAGAATCATGAGTAGATCCCAGATCTCTGACTTGGGCAATTAGGTGAGTGGTGGGACCATTCACAGAGATATGAAGAACCTTAAGGGAGAACAGATCTGGATTGGAATTAGAGTGGGGAGATAAATTAAGTTTGGAGCATACCAAATGTGAGATGGCTTTGGGATACCCAAGTAGAGATTTTCAGAGGCAACTGTGCTTACAACTCTGAAGTTCAGGACTTCAGTTATAGATTTGAGATTTATCACAATGAAGGTGAGATTGAAACCCATGAAAGTTCATGAAACCCACGAATCACCCAATGAAACCATGGAGAAGAAGAAGAGAGGGGAGGAGAGGAGAAGGGAAAAAGAAAGGAAATAGTGAGAAGGAACACCAAAGTTTTAAGGGGTATGAAGAGAAAAGAGGATAACATGAAGAAGGATTTTGAGAGGCAGAAGCCCTTAAGAATGGGGTGATATAGAATTCAAGCGGGAGAGCATTCAGGAAGATGACAACAGGATAATAGGTCAACAGAGTAATAGAAAGGTCACTAAAAATAAACCCTAAGAAGTATTCAGCCAAAACTATTATTGAGCTAATAATTGTGGGATCAATTTCAGGGGAATATTGTGGGCAGAAGTCAGACTGTAGGAGACTGGGGATCAAGAAGTTGAGGCAAGGAGGTTGGACAACAACTGTTTTTTCAAGTTGGTCACGTGAACAAATCCTGACATTGTCTGCATCTTTGTGGTTCCTCCAGCATCCCCTCCCTCGGGTCTTGGCTGAGCTGATTGCAGGGCCCCTGCAGCTCTGGCACTCTCAAGTTGTATAAAACTGTCAGTGCAGAAGTCCTTGAGCCCATTTTGGCTCTCATGATAATTTTCCTTCAGTGGAACTAAGGTTACTTGTCTAAGAACTGAAGTCTCTGACTTGACTGATCAAAGTTCATCACGTGCATTGAAGCCACCTACTTTGCAGATGTAGTGAAAAGCTACATAGATCTGGGCCCAGGACAGGATGCTGGGGCGTGGGAGGGGAAGAAAGCAGGTGCTAACTATATAGATAGCATGCCTATCAGAGCAGTTTTTACATTTCCTATTTGTCTCTCAAAACAATTTTATAGGAATCATCAAAGTAATTTTATCATGGTTTCTAGACCAGGTTTGGATGTGAGGTAGGGATTTCCACAGCTGCTTTTAGTTTGAAGGAAATCTGATAAGATGATGCGAAAGTCCTTCAGAAATGTGTAATCCTACACACTTCAGTGATTCAATTCATTGTCAAAACTTAAGGTGTTTTTAATATCGTTATTGTTCATTTGGTTTTTACCAACATGTAAGGAGTTGGCAATTATTTGTAAAACTCATGTCTTAGGCTAAATAAATTCCAAAAAATTCAGGATGAGAACTGTTTATTGCTTAACGTGTTTCAAATTTCTTCCATGCACTTCTTTATTAGATCTTCACAGCAACCTATGGGATAAGCAAGACAGGTGCAAGTGCCTCCTTTGGGTATGAGGAAACTGAGGTCTAAAGAGATGAAGAGATTTGCCCAAGGCTCATAGCAATTTATTGGTAGAGCAAAGACTAGAATTCAGATC